GCGGCTCATGGGAATGAATAGTACGAGTCGAGTCGACGAGCCGCTCGGCTCGATTGATATCCCTAATCTCACAGCTTAGCTACAAAAAAAGGATGAGAATTAAAAGATTAATAAAGAGACCCAAAAATCTTCGAGTGATGAGGTTGATATACTCACAATATTCAAAAATAAAGGAGATAGTTTGAGTGATCAAGAAGATTTGGGGTCAAGTAATGCAAATCAAAATATAGTCCAATAAGACGAGAGAATTTAGCAGGATAGAATCAGTCAAGTATTACATTCTTACAAAGTACAGAGTTGTTAGTTTGTTATTTGATAATTATCTTATCTTTGGATAAAAACTAGCAATAAAAATAATGGAGAGTCGTTAATTTTGTTTTATTATAAATAGGAATCGACGTAAGAATAGCCAAAAAACTCGTACCCGATACTCCCAGACCCTGCCTCGAACAGGATAAGGATTACCGGCCTAACCAAATAAATGGGACGAGACGGGAGGTCATTGCTCCGAGGCGGGTACAGGAAACATAGTTTCTATCCCGATATCCACCTCGTTTAAGGTTAATTTCAAATTTAAATTTTTTATCAAATAAAAATAAAATATTGATCATCATTTTTAAAGAAAACGTAGCTTGTTCTTAACAAATTGGAAAAAGGTACATTTACAATCTAAAGACAATAAAATAAAATAAATAAATAATGGGGCGATAAATGGGATAGAGACTTGCCTTGCCTCATCCCGCCACGAGCCCGCCACGTCCTGCTTTAACCGAGTATGGGGGTGAGACAAGATGACAAAAATATCGAACAAGACAGGTGTGAGAATGACCAACCCATCCTATATCAGTCCCGTTGTCATCTCTAAATCAATGTGTGGTAAGTACTCATGACCAATGGTCATCATTTAATACAGTTATAAACGGTTTTTTTTTTATATTCATTTTGTGCTCTTTTTTCCATGTTTTCTTCTCTTCTTTCTCAAAGCTTCCCTCCTTTTTCGTTAGGGTTTATAGTTAATATCACTCTCTCTGATTAAATATATCATTAACAAAATATTTGGCAACTCAGAAAAGAATGCAACCCAAAATACTAGTTGCCTTAACTCCAAAGGATGTTTGCACGTGGCATGTGGATTACAGTACCCTTTCATTGAAAAAGTAGAACAAAGATAAACAAATTATTAAAGGTTGGCCAAAAGCTAATCCATAATGCACTACTTTAGCTTAGATCTCCCACAAACATAATAGAACGAAAAGATAAAATGAAAAGAGACCATCAAAATGTCAAAAGTACAATTTTGCGTCAATAATTAAAGATTACCATACCAGAATTTGAACATTTTAAAGCTAATTTCCTTATGAGGCATGATCGGTTGTTAGGACGATAGGGACTTTAGAGAGTCCTCTAGCCCGATCTCATCCTTACATTCTGATTGGCTCTTCCATCAGCCTCCGTTCAAATTATGTTAGGGGTTCTTTTGCTTTCGCAAAGTTCGACTGCAACTTTCCTTTTTGTGTGGGTGGATTAAGCAATTTAATATTTAAAAATAGAACTCAAAAGATTTGATATAAAATTATAAAGATCTAGAATAGAATTTAAAGGTCGGATTAACAAATTTGTATAAAAAAATTTGCAGTTTTACACGGCACGGTCGGCACTACACAATTAATCAAAGATAAAAAGAACACCACATCCTTGAGAACATGGGTTGAATTACGTAGAATAATTCACAGATTTTTAATAGGAATTGGAATGGTAACATCATGTACGTTTGTGTGTTGTTTTCCCTCTTCCCATTTTGAATATATTCCTTCCATTTCAAATTCATGTACCCATTTTATATAATTTTCCTGTACTTGTAGCAAGATTCATCTTGTTTTTAACACGCTCTCGTGACATCATTTTTCAGTCATAGGCATTATACATGCACATTTTCATAAAACGGGTCTTTTCTTGCTCTCGTAGAAACGAAAATATTATTTATTTAAATCTGGTCTCGAGCCACCTCTAAATATATATTCTCACTTTGTGTCCAGTTTTTTATCCAGTAAGTGATCAGCTTGAAGGCGGCCATGGCAGTTGGGCTGGCCATTCAAATTGAAGGCGGGGAATATGCTGGCAAGATTACAGGGTTTGTAGTTTTATCTTGCATGATTGCTGCTACTGGAGGAATAATCTATGGTTATGACCTTGGAATTTCAGGTATTTTATTTACTTGTTTCTTGTCAACCGTTGATGAACTGATTGAATCAACTTAAATACTGAATGAATTGAAGTCTTCGATCAAATTCTATATGCTTGTGTGAAGGTGGGTTGACCTCAATGGAATCATTTCTGAAGGAATTTTTTCCACAAGTATACAACGAAATGAAGGAAGAAACAAAGACAAGCAACTACTGCAAATTTGATAGCCAACTGTTGACACTTTTCACTTCCTCTCTCTATATAGCCGGTCTTATTGCCTGTTTCTTTGCTTCACCGGTCACTAGGACCTTTGGTCGGAAGATATCGATCTTGATTGGTGGAACTGCATTGATTGCCGGTGCTGCCCTTGGTGGAGCATCTTATAATATTTACATGCTATTGCTCGGTCGTGTTTTACTCGGTATTGGTCTGGGTTTTACAAATCAGGTAATTACACAGTGTTGTGTTGTGGGACTTTTTAGCAGTCTATTAGTCTTAGTGACTAGTATTATTGGTCTATCAAATGACTTCATGGCATTATGTTGAGTGCAGTATTTAAATTATAAACATGTGCCCCTGGCTATCACCTTCAATTTTTACATCAAGTGGTCCAAATTATATCAGAGTACGTAAAGGTTCTGGCTCAAGTTGCGCTGCCACCCCTGTATGAAGAAATTGTGTTCGTGTGAGGCTTTAATTGGAAAATAAGGAACCCTGCCCTCACACGAGGGGACACGCGACCCTCTTTAGCCACTCATTCTTTCTTTTTGTATCCTTTTGCCTGAACAATATACCCTAACTGGAGAAGAAAATGGAAACAAAATGTCTAAGCAGGAAATAGTATTATGGGATTCATAGAAACCAGGTTTAATCAGAAAAAAGTACAAACGAGAAGAGCTAATTCGATCTAATCGTACCATGTAAGCCTTTAAAAAAGTGTTCTAGGTGAAAAATAATAATTTAAAAGCTCTCCAGCTAGAAATGTTGCTAGCAAATAGTAATGTCAAAAATCAATGGTTCCCTCTTGATGCTCAAACAGAAATAAATAAATCTAAAGAAGCTCTTTATAGAATCTTATAGGATGTGAGATTTATATTTAGTTTCATCAACCAGGTGAAAAAATTGTTTTTGTCTTTTATTACATAATAAATTTATTAACATTCTACGTATCACTTATTGTCTGCAGGCAGTTCCATTATACCTCTCAGAAATGGCTATGTCCAAAAATAGGGGAGCTTTTAACATTGGTTTTCAAATCTGTCTTAATATTGGTTTTATACTAGCAACATTCATAAACTATTCTGCTCTTAAAATCAAAGGAGGTTGGGGCTGGCGAATTTCATTAGCAATGGCTGCAGCCCCTGCTGCAATTCTGACTATTGGGGCATTTTTCCTCCCGGAGACACCAAATAGCCTAATTCAACAGGGAGATGATCACGAAAAGGCCAAGCAAATGCTGCAAAGAATCCGAGGTGTTGATGACGTCCAAGTAGAACTAGACGATCTCATAAAAGCAAGTTATGCTTCAAAGTCTGTCAAACACCCATTTAATAATCTCTTGCAAAGAAAATATAGGCCTCAACTCGTTATGTCAATAGCAATTCCATTCTTCCTACAAGCAACAGGAATCAATGTGATTGGGTTCTATGCCCCAATACTCTTTCGAACAATTGGTTTAGGTGAAAGTACATCGTTGTTATCAGCAACACTGCTCTCATTGGTGGGCTTAGGTTCGTCAATTGTGTCATCTGTGTTAGTCGACAAACTTGGCAGACGAGCTTTATTTCAGTTGGGTGGGATTCAAATGTTCGTTGCTCAAATGTTCATCGGAGCAATAATGGCAGTCAAATTGGGGGATCATGGAGAATTAAGCAAAGGGTATGGCACTTTAGTCTTGATCTTAATTTGTGTATACGTTGCTGCTTTTAGTTTGTCATGGGGACCATTGGGATTGGTAGTTACAAGTGAAATATTTCCATTGGAAATAAGGTCTGCAGCACAAAGTATTAATGTCGCTACGAGTCTTCTCTTTACATTCGTCATTGCTCAAGGTTTTCTTGCTATGCTTTGCCACATGAAGTCCGGAATTTTCTTCTTCTTTGCGGGATGGGTTGCATTAATGACTGGATTCGTCCACTTTTTCCTGCCGGAAACTAAGAATATTCCAATCGAGAGAATGGAAAAAATATGGATGGAGCATACTTTTTGGAAAAGAATTGTTGGTAATGATCAAGAGTATGAAAAGAGTAAGATTGAGGGAGCGTGATGATACACTCAAAATGATGTACCAACTAATTTCCTTACTTA